AATAATTTACAAATTGTTTTTTCCGTTCATTTTCTTATAACTCGAAAACTGCTGATGCTAAAAAAATTTAAACTACAGATCTGAAAACTAGACACTTGAAGCTTCAATTTCATTTTTTTTATTCTCTCTACGACCATTTCCCTCCAAGTTACAGCTCTGTGAAAATCACCCGAAATTTTGAAATTTTTTTAATATCCCTTAATTTCTCTACCGATTGTATACTTTAATGATCAATGCCTAATGGTACAAAACACTGTTATGTACCTATTGGTAGCCCTACCAGTCTGTAGATACTATGAAAGCCCTAGGCGCAATAAACTTCCTTTCAATTAATAATTTTGTGTGAAACAACTACTCCGCGAAGTAGTTGTTTCTCATAAAATTATTAGTTTTTCAACCAGTGTAGTATAATAGTAATAAAGGAATCATATCAACTACTGCTGAAATGTGTTTTTAATTTCAATAACAAATAAATAATAATATTATTAATAATAATAATAATAATAATGATAATAATAATCTTTATTATGCTTATAAGATATTACAAAATAATATACAGCATTAGTCAACACTTGGAGATAGAACACCTAGAAACTAAAGAGAGAAAAAAGAGAAAAAAAGAAAAAAGACATAAAAGAAAAAAACTAACTTAGCAAAAGTATTCGGACATAGAATAAAAACATTTAACTGACAAATACAATCTTAACTTTCGTTTGAACTGGGCAATTTTTTACACTTTTTTATTACGTATGGCAAATGATTAAATATTTTGGGTCCTAAGTAATTTGGCCCTTTACCTACAATTGATAATTTTGTGAAAGGTATACGTATTTCATTATTTTGTCGGGTATTAATATTGTGAACATCTCTATTCAAACAAAATTTATTTACATTTTTAAAAACATACATCGACATTTCAAATATAAATAACGATGCCACAGTTAAAATTTTATGTTCCCTGAAGGTAGGTCTACATGACTGCAAGTTTCCGAGTCCAACAATAATACGCAATATGCGTTTTTGCAAAATAAAAACAGACTTCGCCGAGGTTGAGTCACCCCAAAAACAAATACCATACCGCAATCGACTATCAATTGGGGCATAATATAAATTAATTAATTGCTGCCTTTCTAAGATCCCACTCATATTCCTAAACAGAAAACAATTAGATGATATAGTTGAAACAAGCATATTACAATGAGTTGTCCAATTAAGTTTCTCATCAAGATATATGCCCAAAAAGTTAGCACTCGTCTTACAATTGCCCATGTCACAATTATTTATAGAAAGTGTCAGATCATCGCAACTCCTTTGTGCAGTACGAAGCCTTACTATCTGGGTTTTGTCAATATTAAAATATAAATTATATCCACAAAACCATCTACATAACAGTTCCAGGGTTCTATTTATGTTTGCATTCAGATCATCAATATTTCTATTTGAAAACAACAAAGTCAAATCATCGGCATACATGGTGAAAAAGGTATAATTTAAAACTGACTCCACTGAATTGACGTACAAAATAAAAAGTATAGGGCCAAGAACTGATCCCTGTGGCACCCTCATTTCCACAAGTAATTTGTTGGAATTTATTCCATTAACATACTTTGAATTTACATTATCAATAGATACATACTGTTGACGATGTTTTACAAAATCAGACACCCATTGCAACGGTTGCCCTCTTATGCCATAATCCTGCAGCTTATCGAGCAACACATCATGATTGATGCAGTCGAATGCTGAGGTCACAAAATATTTCAGCAGGACACTCGTCCGCATCAAAGTGTTGCAGCACCTCATTACAGAATGAGTGTATTGCAGTTGTTGTAGATAACCCGCGACGAAAACCAAATTGCTTATCATTTATGATCCGAAATCGATCCAAAAAAGGCATTAAACGGCAAACAAAAGCATACTCGAAAATTTTTGACATTTTTGACATTATAAAATAAATGTATTCAAAATAAATCCTGTTTATCGCATATGTAGATATAGACTAAGATGGTGCTCCAAGGTAGATAATCTATCAGTATAGTAAATTTTCCTGTATGTATATGTATAACTACGCAAGTTGTTTTTTTTTTAACTCATTGATATTGTTAGAGTATGTTATAATAGTTTTAGTAAAATTTGTCCCTGAGATGTTTGTTAGCATGTGTATGACGAGATTAGAGTACCTAATGAAGATAATATAGTCAATTACTTTTGGCATAATTCACCTGTACTTATGAAGTAGGTAATTTTCTTGAAAAAAATTATGTATTCATATATTTAAAAATAGAAATTACTTCAATACAATTGATTTAAAAAGAGAATAACTACAGCTTTTACCTTTTTTTTATTTATATTTTTTGGTAAAATATGTAGGAAGTAATTTTTTCCTAAAATCTACATCTCGAACGAATAAAATTTCTGTTAGGTATATCACGAAATTTTCAAAAATTCTTGATTTCAGCCATAAAATAATCAAAATAAAAAACTGACAAATTTTGAAGTGTTAAGTTAAAAATGATTTACTACTCACTACTACTGAGTTTTATAAAAACTTAAAACTATTTTCTATACTTACTTCATTCTGAAATGTTTTTAACATTTTATAATAATTCAAAATAAAGTTGACACAAATTTAATTTGAATACCTGTATCTCATAAATTGTTCGTCATAGTATTTTATATTCCGATTTTTGTCACATGATAGAATTAAATACCTATGTGAGACAATAAATCTAGTTTTTTCCATTTTGAAATACCCAATCAAAACTTATACGTGCAATTTATTATGACAGTGATGAAGAACATACCAAGCCAATAATATTTATATAATATGCATAGAAAACGATAAGTATTTTATTGAACGAATATACGAGTTACAATATTGATATTATATAATTTTCGAAGTAGATATTTGGAATTGAGAGTGTTGTTGCTAATAATTTAATTTGACAGTATTCTCCGAAATTATATTACTGTAACTTTTTTCTTAGAAATAATAACCGGAATTAAGTTCTCTTATCCAATTTCTAAAGTGTTCAGCGGCGTCGAAATTATGTGTTTCTTAGAGACGGTATCTTCCAGCAACTCTTCTACTGGTGTACAGAGTTATATATCAACTTTGCGAATTTCTACCCTTAATACTAAATACCTAATAAATGTTTTTTTTTTTCATTCAGAAAAGAGTGTCAAAACGAAGTAAAATTTAAATATTACTATTTTATATTAGTCCGCCATCATTTGGTATGCACTGTTCAATTCGTCTCCTTTTATTTCTATTAACTCGCCTCAACTGATGTGTTATTTGTCGACATGCTTGTTTAATTCTGTTACATAAATTTTTCTGTTCTGGGGCCTACTTTATTTTTCACAGTTGCCCATAAAAAAATCAAGAGGCGTCAAGTCTGGAGCTCTTAACGGCCACTCAACTAACGGACTGTTGTGACCTATCCATTCCTCAGGAAATTCTCATTCAACGAATGACGTACTATTACCGCATCATTGGTGCTCCATCTAGTTGAAAGTAGGGGTCTGTTTTACATGAAGGAAAAGTGCATGTACTGAATTCCATAAATCATTATTTAAAAAATTCAAAAAAAATCTCTGCGTTTAGAAGGGCCCGATTATTTGATCACATAAAATCCCGCAGAACACATTAATTTTTTTAAATAAGATTTATGTAATAAAATTAGACATGTATGTCGACAAATAACACCATCAGTTGAGGAGAGTTGTTAGAAATAGGAGGAGACGAATTGAACAGCAGATATGATGGTGAGCTAATAGAAAACAGTAATATTTAAATATTATTTCGTTGTGAAACTCATTTCTGATAAGATAGAGAGCACCCTATATAAGTGAAATCAATGAAACTGCATAAATATACCTTCGGTTAATAAAGTTATGGAAAAATACCTTAAAAATATTTTCCACTGTTAATACAGGACCCTCTGCAATGAGAGAAATTTTTCAAAGTTTGCACCTATTTTGTCAATACCCTGTAAAAGCTATAATAATGAAACTTTGTATTTAGAGTTTTGAGTTGTTATCAAATCGAAAATGCTATCCATTTATTTCTTAAAAAAATGTCTAATATGTTTTTTAATTTTTGAGGGTCTTCTCTTAATGATATTAGGCCGTAGAAAAGATCACATGTCAACAAATATTACATCAAAAAGTAGGCCTTTTTGAGTACTATTACATACAAAAAAATAATTTAGAAAATTGGCCAACGCCATCCTAAAGACGGAGGTATTCCGACTTTAAATGAAACACACTGTATATTACATTTTTCTTCATTGGAATAACGCAAAGCCATTTTGATGATTTTAAAACAAGTGTCACTCTAATTGTCAACAATTAACTCTATGCTTTAAATTCAATATGGCGCCCATAAAAAAAAATAAAGTTGATGTTTTCTCGCAACCAACACGTCGCAATGAAAATCTAGGTATATAGTGAAATTGATTTCAGGCAGTTCCAGGTTTTTTTTCACTTCATATGCATATAATAGGTATGCATTGAATATGCCACTGTAAATTTTAATTTAAATTCAAAACATTGAACAATTTGTAATTTTTTAATTAATCTAACTTGACCTATCATCGTAAAAGTAAGTTTACAGATTCTGTCGGAGCTGTTAACAAAAAATTTAAATTATTTTATCTTCTGGAATGATTCTGAATGCTGCGGTTTGCAGCTCTATACGTTTTTAATTAAATTTCTTGAATAGCAATTATGTTATCAATTACCATTAAATTTATTTTGTTGGCTGTCTAGAAAAGGTTTATTACTTGAGAAAATTTTTCCGCACCTTCAAACAATTTATGGCATCATTAAAAATAACGCATTGGGTTTTCCTTAAAAAAAAAGTACTTGAGCATGCAAGACAATTAATTTTACGAAAAAAATATATTTACAGCTTACCACAATGCTTCCAAACTTCTAAATATATTACATCCATATGACCACCTTGTCGGTCTATACGTACCTAACTATCATCTTTCAGTTCAGGGACAATTCGGATAAGTTTCCATAAAACAATTTTACATTTATTTAGCAGAGAAGTCGTGCAAGAAATTCGTTTGACATTGTCAAGAAGTAATTTCAGTTAATAGTTTGGTTCGTAATATATAAGGGTTACGTTTTAGCTTTATTTAAGTGAACTGGTCTGTACTGAAAGTTTCAAAATGCTGGTGAGTATTATATATCTTGAACAATTTTATATTTATGTCTTAATATGTTATAAGTACTGAGTTTATTTTTCTAATGTCGTATAATTAGTAAATAAATCAACATTGAATTAAAAAACTATAAGTAGTTAGTTAAAAAACAGCTTAATCTGCTTTGATCTTTGATGCTTTACTGGTTGATAGTAGTAACTGTAGACTAGGCAACACAATATACCTGCACAAAGAAATCGAAGGTTGCATTTTATTATGTTTTACTTCATTATGAAAATTGTAAAACTTTTTTTTATTCGTTTGAAATGTGCAACCCGTTTTTACAATCCCTTGAATTCCCTTTTATCTACGGAGTGTTTTATGTAATTACAATGATTTTTTTTGAAATTATTAAATAAACTCGGCCCATACAAGAATTGTATCTCTATATACGAGGTCTGTTCAGAAAATAACCGAACTCTTTGAATTACGCGCTATTGGAGATATCTACAGATACGCGGTTGGCAGCATTGCGTTGCGCATAGCCTCCTCTGCAACCACATGTTCTTGTATTGTTGATATCTTATTTCGTTTTCGGGATATCGTTATTTGAGTGTAACGTGTTTAATTGTTAGTGACGATTTTTGAAATGTGCGATTTTCTTGAACGATCCAACGTAAAATTTTGCGTGAAAATTGGGAAAACTTCCACGGAAACGTAAAAAACACTCAGACACGATCAAATTCCAGTTACATTGCTCTATATGAATTTTGTCGAATTTTAAATTTATTACAACGCTAATTATTTTTTAGAATTAAGCATAAAGAAGTTCAAAAAAGTGATAAACATTGTATTTTATGGACGTAGTGGTCAATATTTCTTAATTAATCGAACTTTTGTACAAGTTGGAGATTTTGATAACTCTTAAAATAAAGATTTTTTGTTTATTTTAATGTATTCTATCGTGTGTTAAAATTAAGGCAGTCAAACTTCTAACACCCTCTACAAAATATATAATTTTTCTATTTATAAGTGAAATGAATAATAATATGCTGATTTGAATTCCAATTTGAAACAGAATTTTACAAATAAAAAGGTCAAGATTAAAATAACTATTACCTATATCAAATCGCTAACCACATATTATTTGCTAGAGTTTAAAAAAGAGTAAAACAAACGACTCCGTTGTCTTTTAAATAGAAATTTTGCAGAAAAGTTTATCTTACATCGGCAACCTTTTACCTACATAATTTTGATGTAAGAAAAATTGAAACGTGGACTTAAGAAACAGGATTGTAGTAGCCATTTACCCTAACTTTTATTGGTGCACGCCTATAATTCAGTTGTATATTTTTTTATACCAGTCGTCTATTCCTCAAATTTTGTTTACTTTATGTAGTATTGCAACTATTCTTAAGATATAAGAACATATTACATCGGTTGATATATTATACTCATAAATAAAAAACTATAATATGTTAAATTAAATGAAGCAAGATTGAAGGTGATATTCTGTGATTAACTATAACTTGCTAATACATTTATTGTTTGTTTCAGAAAATGATCATTTATTTTTTAGTGGCTGTAGGACTGACTGCATACACTACATCCACTGTGACGGAAAGAACCAAATACACAACCAAATACGACAACATAGATTTAGATGAAATCATTCACAATGAAAGGCTTTTGAAGAATTACGTGGACTGCCTACTTGAAAAAGGAAGATGTACCCCAGATGGACTAGAACTTAAAAGCAAGTATTTACTATAACCCTGCCATTACTGGTCCCATTAAATAAAAGAAAACAAATTGTATTTGAAAATATTGGATGCATTTATTATATATATTTTTATTTATTTACAAATTTGAACGAGCTTTTTTTATTAGTGAGATTTTTTGAAAGCATTTCCAAAATATGTCACAATAATTTATTAATTTGAAATCATAACCAACTTCGATCGTTTTTATAGTGCAAAAATTAAAAATTAAGGATTAAGCGTAAAAAAGTACCCATAATCAAAATAAAAACAATTGCATCAATGGTATCTCTCACTGAAAATTCAATTTTGGTGTCAGTTTTTCACTAAGTTGGATATTTTACAAGGAATTGTCAAACAAAATTAATAATCTCTTCTGCATCAAGATTGTTTGACTTTATCTTCATCAATTCATATTGATGAATTACTCATGTAAAATATCTATTTATTAATGCATATCACGTGTAAATAAATGAAATAAACAGTTATATGTGCCATCTCATCAATTTTGTTGTTTCTTTTCTTCTCTAGAGAATATGCCTGATGCTATAGAAACGGACTGCAGCAAATGTAGTGAGAAACAAAAGGAAGGGTCTGAAATAATTATCAGATATCTAATCGACAACAAGCCTGAATATTGGAGTCCTTTACAGGAAAAGTACGATCCTACAGGAAGCTATAAGAAGCGCTATTTGGATGCGAAGAAGACCGAGGTCAATGTTGAACCTATTGTTAAATCGTAATTGAATTGTTAAATAGAACTTAATGTATATTGTCATTTCAAGTAATATCAGTCAAAATAAATTTCAAAAGATGTACCTATGTACGTCAGAAATAGATATTTCATTCACTGACACCGACGTCACACTTTGGATGTACGTGCAGATTCTTGGCAAATACCGAAGTATTTGCTTTCCTCTCAGGTCTATTCTAACATATGATGAATGTATTTATAGGTTTCCAGAAGAAATGAATATTCTGTTTTTATTTCTGTTAAACCTAACCTTCATGAGTGAATATGATTAGGTGCACTATTAGAATCTTTAATAACATTTAATCTATTCTACAACACCCTTATGACTCAAAGTGACATGTTATCTGTTAAAAGTGATTTTATTGCAGTTGGTATTTTCTTGTCAAAACTATTACATACTTCAGTGCTGTCAGGAGAATATAGATTTGTTTGATCATTCATTTTGATAATTTTTTAGATTATGTAGAATAAGTTGCAAAGTTCATTAACTTTTGGAATGAGACAGATTCTTCACATTTTTGTAGTTATTCACATAATATTCTACTCTCTTTATCTCTTTTGCCTCCCTAATTGGGAAAAATAGGATATGATTTAATATATCATAGATATTCACAAACTCCATATCAATCTTGACATTATTTCTGTAACTCAAGTTCAAAATTTGAAAAATGAGTTGATATTAAAAATTAATACACGAGGGTGATCTACATATAGTCCTTGACAGTTTTGGAGTAAAAGTTAACTAGGTACTCTTATATAATCCTAGTCGGTAAATCGGGCTTCGTAGATCCATACTTAAATTACCAAAAGTTCACATGTCCAAACCGTTTTTTAGATAAAATCCAAACTAAGATTATAATGGTGGTAATATTTTGGTGATAAGTTGATTTTATTCCCATTTATGCTTACTACGGAAAATTTATCGTACCTATATAATTTCTTGTTTTTAATATAAATTATTTTACAATTTCTCTCAAATCAGTTACAGTGGACTTGGTAAGTTTTGCGCGCAAGCTACAGATTTATTGTGTAGGGTCAATAAAGAAAACATATTATTGGTCCAGATTTTAAAAGTAGATATATGACATGTGGGTGTCATTGAAATGGTGTAAAAAATTCTGAAGATGACAGTACCTATAAAATGGAAAAAAGTTACTATTAGCATGAGTCTATGAATCCATAATAAGTCGGTTAAAGGAATTAAAACAGTAAACTTATATTTTTTTTTTGGGAAGTTCAAAATAAGAAAATTTTCACGGTTGTACGAATTTTGTCCCGAAAATAACTAGTGACGTCAAAAAATGCATAGTGCAATCGAAAAGGTACCTAGTATTTGTAAGGGGCAAGGTTGTTTTTTCAATAACATCTTTGGAATTGAAACTTTGGAACTTTTTTTATATTGTGGGTGGGTAGGTACATTTTCAATTAATTATGTTCCTATTTATATAAGAAATAATCTTATTTCAAATTTCATTAGAGCAAACCTGAAAATGGAATTACCTCTTTAAATTTGTATGTCCATGGCAAATAAAAAATGTATCAATGCGTTTTTGGAACTGTCACAAAAAGATAATTTTTTGAATTACCTAATTTAATGTTTACGTTTATGTGAAAACGCAACAAAATCCCGTTAATTGGTTTTAAAAAATTTACTTCAAACGATTTGCAACAAGAGTACCCTTTTTGTTTAAATAAGTACGTAGTTATTGTAAATGTGTTCATTATGTTATGTTATTGAAAAAACAAAACCAGCAACCCTTAAAGTACTACCTTATCATTTTTTGATATTACCAAATTTAGGGTAAAATTTATACAAGTGTAATTTTTTTTATTTTAAACTTACTATTAAAAAACCGATTTTATAGATATAGCATTTTAACATAAGACCCTTAGCTTAAGACCTAACACCTTACAGCAATCACTTTGCGCTATTACCTTACAAAATTTTTTCCACAATTTGAGTAAGGTCATAATCAGAGGAAGAGAGAGTACTTTAAAAAACGACAAGTATACAGAATGTTGCATTAAAAAAAATTTAGTTTATATCTCTGACAAGTAATATTGCATTGGTTTTTTTACATATGTATTTATTTGAGATGGCAAAAAAATTTCCTGAAACTTTGATCTTTACCGTTTTTTTATCCACATAACAACGAAAAGGAAAAGAAGCTAGAATAAATATTATGTGAATAACCTTGTACACTGGCAGATCATCTTTGTTTACTAAATTTTTTAATAGGAAATTGCATCTCTTTAACAATGTAGATTTTGACATGTTTTTAGGACATTATAGCAGTCTGATATTTACTGAATATTTTAAAATAATTAATAATTGTTAACCGTAAAATAATTATATTTAATGTGGATTGGGTAAAACTGGTTGCATATTTTGTGCTCTCTTTCAAATCGTTAACAGTATCAATTTATATTTCATTCGATGCATAATAATTATATGTATTCGTGTGTTTTTACCTTTCATGTAAAAAGTTGAACAACAATATATAATTTACAAAATTACAAATAGTAACCTTAAAGTAGAAAAAAAATAATTAACTATTAAGTGAGTCTCATTTTCTTCTTTATTTATTTTCATCTCGTATATGTATTTTTGTATAATTTATATTCATTTTGTAATATTAAGATCAGATATAAATTGTTAGGTATATTTATTATATTTTAAGGGCTTTATTTTTACATATATTAATAATATTTAAATGTAAATAATAATAAAATAAACGTTTCTTATTTATTAATAAATTTAGTTTGATTTAAATTAGTCTTCAGGTAGGTACATGTAATAAGTTTTAAAACGCAAAAATACTAATAATAGCGTTAGATATTTGTATAGCTGTATTATGGATTTTATATTGCAAAAGTACTTAAAATATGTGTTCAAATATTGACCAATGCGTCTTAAGAAGATACACCATTTGAAAAATACAGCAAAAGCTTAAATTTAATTAGAGTACTCAATAAATAAACAACATAGACAGTCAATAATGACTACTTAATATAAAATTTAAAAAATATAACAGAATATCAGTAAATAATATATTTTGTTTTTGAGACACAGGGCGTCAAAGATGATTTTTTAAAGACAAATTTTAGCCATATTATCTTTTCCAAAAATGTTAAATGTATTAAAATTTGGTAAAGATAAGTTTTTGAGAATGCTGAGTACGTTAATGGCATTAGTTTTTTTCCCAGTGACATAACTTTTTGAAATTAGGCAGTTTTGATGAAACTGTAGAAAACTCACCGTTTTCAAGAAACATTGACTGTACCAATATCAATCAGCTTCATCAAAAAATAAAAAATATATTGAAATAAAAGGGTAATTTTTTATGAAAATGGTTTTGCCCAACCAAAAATCTCACAGTGAAAAAGAGACAAACAGAAAACACAAAACTGTCAAGTGCGAGATATACCAAATGATTCAGTTTGGTATTCGCGGCCCTGTATCTCTTTTATTTTAACAAATAGCTTTAACAAACCCTATGTATTTTTAAATCGCCGCTCAAACTCTATCAAATGACATTATAAGATCGTCTCCATGGTAACCTATGTCAATATTGCTATAGTCAACTGTTTTTGTTCAAATGGCACACTATATATTTTTTTATCAATTCTGGAAAATATTTTTTTTCTGCGTTCAACTATGTAAGGAAGTCTATAGTTTCATTAGAAATATTGCTGGAAAAACAGCAAAACAGATGCACCCTACTTTTCGTAACTTTATTCTGAAAAATGATAGCCGGCTGCGAAAACAAGTTACTCTGTTTTTTAAAGTAACATATTTTATTTTTAATGCGATAATAAAATAACAATTTAAAACAATACTTATTTCAAATGTTCAAAATGACCTCCATTTGCTTCCAAACAAAGAATAGCTCTGTTTATCACTCCCTCTCTACAAACACGTTCTAGTGTTTCTTCATTTAATCTCCGACATTTTACTCTTATTCTGTTTTTAAGGTCGTCAATATCATTTAAAGGCGAAGAGTAAACTTTTTCTTTTAGGTAAGGCCAAAGAAAGAAATCTATAGGAATGAAATCCGGAGAAATCTATAGCGGACCATTTAACATCTTTATCGAATGTTCTTCATTTCTTGCCCTTCTGAGTTCAAAACTCTTATTTTCTTTTGAAAACCATCTGCTGCCAAATTCCTGGCTAACTTTCCGAAAATTTTATCAGATGGAAGTTGTCTCTGCGGAAAACGATGTTGGTTGAAAAACTCTTATTTGGAAACGTCAAAATTCAGTTGTTCCCGCAGCTAGCTATCATTTTTCAGAATAAAGCTACTGAAAGTAGGGTTAATCTTTTCTGCTGTTTTTTAGAAATATTCCTAATGAAACTGTAGACTTCTTCTAGAATTGATAAAAAAAATATATAGTATGCTATACGAACAAAAATAGTTGACTATAGCAATTTTAACATATGTTACCATGGAGACGATCTAACAATGTCATTTGATAGAGTTTGAGCTGCGATTTAAAAATAAATAGGGTTTGTTATAGCTATTTGTTAAAATAAAAGAGATACGAGGCCGCGAATATCAAACTGAATCACCCAGTATAGTGATGCGTATTTTGTATTTTCTATTTGTTTGCTTTTTTTAGGCTGAGATTTTTAGTTAGACAAAATTATTTTCATAAAAAATGCTCCTTGACCCAAACACAAAAAAGAAAACTGGAATTACGCCATAAATAAATAATATACAATGTATCTAGAAACAAATGGGTCATATACTTCAAGGATAACCTCCTTAAGTGAAAAAATGGATTTAGAACAGTTATCTCATTATAACTTTGTTTCCTTAAAAAATTATGTTGGTGAGTACCTCAATCAAGTTAAAGTTAGTTAAAATAAAAGTAAAAATTTTGAAAATCAGTTATAATTTAAGGAAACAAAATTATACCGTGTTCTAAATCTTTCCAGATCTACATCAATTTATGTTCATCCAAGGAAGCTGTTCTTGAAGTTGTTGCTAATTTTTTTGAGAATCCCTGTATATTAATGACAGAAGCTGGCAGACTTTGGAGGTCAATCGCATTTTTCTCAATAACGTTTTATGTTCCGTGATTTCAACGAGAGTACGTTTTTAATGTAAAATTTTATTTTACATATGAAATAGAACGTAAAAACCTGACCTCAAAATAGTTCATAAAATGGCACAGCGTCTAACGACACTTAGAGTGTACGAAAATTCAACAAACATAAATCTAAATAAAAAATTTAGATAAATTTGGAACGAATACATTGAAGATGAAATTTTCGAGACAAAACGTCTGAAACTGGTTTGGGCTGAGGCAGTACAGTATTGGGGGTCATCAAGGCTTGCAAGAAATGTAATAAAATTTTCAGGATCGTATTTTAAAAAAATGAAGTTGGTGATGATCCTGGAGAGACGAAACGTTACATATAAAAATTGATTATGCCACTCGATAGGTGGCAAAATGTTGCCATGAGAAAATTTTCTTTTTTCAATATCACCCCAAACAAGGCTGAAATGATACAAAATCGGATTTCCAAAATTTCGTTTTTTTTTTCAAATATTTCGAAAATCAATCATGTTAGTCTTGATTTTTTAGAGGCATAATGTTGCTCCCCTAATTATGTAACTTTACTCCCATTTAAGCTACTTCGTATTTGTAACAGCCTGTATAAATTAAAATAAGTTATTATGCCACTTACGGAATTGAATTGTCACGATGTTACACTATTCATATGAAATTAACTATCACATCAAAAATTCGTACTAATTTATAAGAACTTGTAGGTACAATGAGGGAAATCGACCAATAAGGAAGTTTTGCCAAGATATATCTTTATTATAATAACAATTTTTCTTATTAGTATTACAATATCAAATGCCAGGCTTAAAAAAATGATTTTATTAACACGATTTTACTACTCTAAAGTCGTTACTTTACTAGAACAGGAGGGCACCTTCTTTTTTCTAGTATTTCTTCCATTAAAGGTAACTATACTCGGCGGCCGAAATTATAAAGAGTGACTAATACATAATATAAAAACACTATTACCATAATGCATATAAAATATAAAATGATTTCTATACGGTTCAATATTATTTATCTTTGTGCCGCTCGCCATGCACATTGGTAGAATCTATAATCGTGTATAGACTGAGTTACACTGAACGTCGATCTATATTTTATCTCTGTTTTTTGCACTTGGTAGGGAATAGGGAAGTGCTTTTTTAGTGGGTGTAAACGGACTTGATTTGCCCGACCTGAGAAACGTCATAGCATAAGCGTAGACGAGGGGTCTAATTCCATGGCTATAATAAATTTATAAATTAAAAAAACACAACTGGGACGTTTTAAAATGCTGTAATAATTAAAATTGATCAAAGTGCCGGTTATAGCAAACCGTAAAAAATATTAGATGTTATGTTTTATTATGTTTTTTCAATATTTTATATATCTTGTTGCCTTTTACGCAGACACGCCAATGGATTTTCGTTCCCGGCACGCTTCATCCCCCTTACTAGTCCAAGAGCTAGCGATGAATCACTATCTATAATTTTGGCCGTCGAGTATAGATACCTTATTGAACTGAATTAACGATTAAAAATAATTTACCTATGGTTACAATAGTCGAAGCAAAAATTTGACAACAGTAGTCAAATATTTTTTTTAGAGCGTAGTAATCATAGTTGACACGCAGGCGCGCGTGCTAGTTAGCCATTTTGTGGCCAACATTGCAATAGGAAGGATCCCTTGTCCGCCTTTCATATAATTAACAATTGCGTCAGTAATATAATAGTAACCAACACAGCTTTGCCTATGTGTCGATTATGAAGGCGTACCTAAGTGTAGTGCCAATGCCGGGCCTGGATTCTGGATTCTGGAATAGTTTGGATGGTAGCTCAGTATACTAAGCTACAGCACTTAGGCCGGTTGGGCCCTTTGTGCATCCTCCCAGCGAAAGATCAGCTCTCCTGAGCCGTCAACCAGCCTCTCAAGGAGAAAAAGGTGATGACGTTGCTCAGGGGGATCTCTCTAATGTAGGCCATAGAAGGCCACCATTCTCCTAGCATGGATTCTCTCGTTGACGAGACACCAGTGCACTCTCAGAGTATATGGAAAATCGTCTAGTCTTCCTGCTCACAACCTCTACAGAGAGGTGTTTCACGCTTCCTCATATTGTAGATAGAGGAGTTTCCTTAGCCAACAGTGTCCGTTCTGAATACCCATCACAAGGCGAAGACTTACCTTGGATATAGCCAGGTATTTCTTAGCTGTGTCTTTGCTGGTGAACTCCTTAGCAAATTGGCAGCTGTTTATTTCATCCCACCGTGTTCTAAACTCTTCGTGGGTGTTTCCTTAATCATTTCAAAAAGTGTTGACAGCGAGAGCACACTGGAGGGACTGGGTCCAAATGCTTATAGTGCGACCCGATATCATCCTAGCTAGCATGTCAATTTCTTTATTGCCATTACACCGGTTGTGCGCCTTAACCCAGCATACAGATATGCTGTTGGTAGCTGACGCCACCACCAGCGCTTGGTGGCATTCCCATATCGATCTAGACATTATCCTCCGACTATGCAAGGTCAACATTGATTGTCTACTATCTGTGTAGATTCTAATACTTTTGCCTGTTATCTGCCTACGGGCAATTTCTTTAGCAGTATGGCCAGTTCCGCTTGTATCACAGTGGTACGTACATTTATAGCTCACTAATATAGGATGTGTAGGGATCTAGAATAGATCCCACATCCTCTGTATGCCAATGCCGGGTGATGATAAAATTATCCAATTATAGATATCTCGTTTTTCACTTGTAACTTTGTATTTACGAAGGGAAAGTTTAAAAACAAAATTAATAACTGAATCTAGTTAGTGCATATAGTTCTAGTAAAAAAACACTGGTTATTGTCTAAAAAGTCACTTATTTTAAGGAAAAAACAAAAAAATATTAGGAAAAAACGTTTTAACCACTAATTAGCAGCTTCTTTAGCAAAATATTCTTATTATGAGAGTAGCCTAACTCTTCAATCAATTTCTACTTATGACTAAAAGATATTTCTCTCAGTGGAGTAAACCATACATGTATTTAAACGTAACTTTCGGTAGGACAGATTTTCATACGAATTCACGTCAAATGTAATTACAGCCTCAGACATTACTGGTAGTGGTTTTGCTATTACTGAAGTTCCCATAACAGCATTCTAATAATAGTCCAGTCGGTATCTGTTTAAAAAGTAAGTTACATGGATGTTTCATATAGTAACGCTAACTTTTGTTGAAAATAGTTCTTAATTTTAATTTAAAATGATAATTGCGATATGAGCCCGCTGAAAACGTTGTGAATAATAAAAGTTGTGCATAATTGTTAGCGCAAGAAACTATTTAAAAAAAATTAAAATAGGCGCATTTTTCTCCCTTCTTTAATGTATAACTCAGAGAATATTGACATTAGAGAGAATAGTCAAAGGAAAAAAAGATTCGTTTTGAGATTCTCTTCGGCCGATTTCGATGAAAAAATTTCCGTAATACTACCAGATCATGAAGTACTCAGAACCATACTTTTTATATAGCTGCTCTAAAATCAAGGTCCGAAATAAATTCATGAAAAAACATCTTTTTTAATTTTGTTTTGGTCTATAATGTATTGCAGCAACAATAATGCACATAAAAATTTAGGACCCCTTTTATTTTGAAGACAATCTGAAACCAAAACTTTTTTTACATAATATTTAGAACTATTTCCAACAAAAATTACCATTATTATATAAAATATCCATCCCGAAACAGATACCGACTGGACTATAATGAATATTTCATCGGGTTGGTAATTCTTACTTTCGGAAACTAACATCAAGAAGTTTAGAAAGCTGTTTATCAAAGACAAAGTCGATGTAGACGGCAGCAGGTAGTTGTTTACCTACAACGCCGTACAGTTGAAATATATTAAAAATTATAATAACAATGTCAGTACAATGTCAGATTTAAGAAAGATATTTGTTCTTTTTTAGACTACGATATAACGTTTTAATTTCTCAATTTTACCAACTATTTTAATCAGAAGAGACTAATGCCATCGGATCAGATTCTATGTTTTTCTTTCTCTATATTATTGATCAAGATCAACGAGACGGGGCTTTTAATAAAATTTTGTGATTTCATAAAACTGCTTTAGAATACTAACGAACTCTCAGTTTTCCAGCAAACTAAAATTGACGTCATAACAGGTAGATATAAAATATTCATTAACAATCCATGCTAAATTAGAACCATAAGTTATGTAGGAGCGTGTCGTTATTTGCTATAAACTGAGCGGTCCTCCTTGAAGTTTGAATTCGCTTTAAGAAAAAGACCCCGCCGTAAGTCTGCTAGTATTTACTGGTTAAGTCAGAAGTACACCGTTGTATATTAAACAAGCTGAGTAAAATGAAAGTGTTTTGTCAAATTGTATTAAGTGCGATAGCCTTATTGGTCCTAGTCTCCATAGAAGAAAGGTCAGTGTCGGCGGCGGCGTTATCCAGGACGAAAAGGGAAGAAAAGTACATCACGAGGTACGACAACTTCGATGTGGCAGGGGTACTCGCTAGCAAAAGGTTGGTAAGGGTGTACTTGAATTGTTTATTGGAGACGGGACCATGCACTCCGGAAGGAAGAGAACTGAAAAGTAAGTAAAATCAACTTCAGGAATTATTACAAATCATTTAGGAATTGTGTATCTTTTAGCATATTTTGAATTATGTAACGTGAAGATGGGATTCAGCACACATACTGTTTTAGGAGAATTCATTTTAGTATAATCATAAAGTCGTAAAGAATAAATTGATTTTACACTATACAGCGTGTCCCATTAGTGCGGGGGAAAGTCCAATATCTATGTTGAAATGAGGAATATATGGATTTTTCTTTTTAGTGCGTTGCCACATTTCTCGGAATGTAGAAATTAAAAATATATTCAACTATACAGGGTCTTCCACTTTTCCTGGCCAGACACCAACTTTGGTTTTTTAAATAGAAACACACATTTTTTATATTTTTTTCGAATGCTACATAAAAAATAAAGGGTACTTTGTGTAGAATAGTTCTATTCAAATATTCACAGTTTTTGAGATATCTCCCTTGAAAGATTTTTCTAGTCGATATTGGTTGCTTACATTTTCTGATACTGACAGGTTATACTAAAGCTACTAAGCCCATTTTTTATCAGATGTTTAGTAAGGATGAGTCTTCCGAATCATGCTCCAAAAACTGGCCTGCGTTATACAAGGTGACCAAAATATCGTGTCAAAATTGCCAATTGAAAAATTGAAAAATCTCGAATTTTTTAAATGCAACGCCCTGTATATTTTCATACCATGAGGTGCAGAATTAAATTCTCTACAACTTTTCTATACCTGCTCCTATACCAAAATTCATTAGTTTTTCATGAAATCTCATTTCTAAAGAAGAATTAGTAAATAAATAATAGAATAATTAGTAAAACTCATGGTAACTGTTTATTGGCAAGTCGTGTTTACCAAACTAATAATCCAGATTTACAAAGATATCCTCGTACAAAGTGTTTTGTAAAACTGAAGGAGAGGTTTGAAAGAACAACAAATGCAAATTATGAGAAGACAAGAACACACGCATGCAGTATCCAAAACAGTTAATTAACATCGTGCATTTCTAACAAAAGTAATAAAGACCTAGTTAAATTAGTAATTAACAGGTAACAGCTCAAAATGTCTGCCATTTTTCTCTAGACATTGAGCAATTCTACGACGAAAATTGCTTGACACATTTCGCAGCATTTCCGGAGTCTGGGGATCGGGGAGGCCATGGAATTGGACCGCCTCTACCTATCCACTTATCTGGATACAAACCATTTAAGTATTCTGTAACCTGAAACAGTTTTTCTATGAATTTACATAACTTACATAATGAGAAAACTTACCGCCAGTGTGGAATGTGCAGGGGCACCATCATGTTGGAACCACTGACTGTTTAAGTCATCTGGATGAATATGTCCCTGCAATTGGAGCAAGTCGTTTTGTAAAAATTGCAAATACCCATTACCTGTTAAGTTTCTTTCAAGAAAATGTGGTCCAATCCAATGACATATTCTCCGCATATTCCCGCCCAAACGTTGACTTTAAAGCGGTGTTGATGATCGTCTTGTCTTATTATTCTGGGATTATGATCGGCGTAATGGTGATAATTATGTCGATTCTCTCGACCAGTATTGGCAAAGGATGACACTTTGGAAATACTAATTTCATCACTAATTTCTCTGACACTTGTAGATGAATTTTGGACTGCAAATCCCAAAATGTCAATTTGACTATTCTGATTACTGCATGCGTGTATTCTTGTTGTCTTCTCATAATTTGCATTTGCCGTTCTTTCAAACATCTCCTTTTTACAAAACACTTTTTATAAGGATATCTTTGTAAATCTGGATTATTAGCTTGCCAATAAACAGTTACCATGACCTTCTCTTCTCCTACGGCATACGCCATATTTACTAATTTTTCTTTAGAGTAATTCATTTCACAATTATTACTGTCGCTTTTCTATTAAACTTTAAGTGAATCGAAAATTTTCCCGATTATCCTTTGACAGGAACCTACTGCGTTATTTTACATAAAGCTATTTGTAAACTTCGCATTTTTTCATAGAAATGAGATTTCACGAAAAACTAATGAATTTTGGTATAGGAGCAGGTATAGCAAAGTTGTAGAGAATTTAATTCTGCATCTCAGGGTATGAAAATATACAGGGGGTTGCATTTAAAAAATTCGAGATTTTTCAATTTTTCAATTGGCAATTTTGACATGATAATTTGGTCACCCTGTATAACGCAGGCCAGTTTTTGGAGCATGATTCGGAAGAGTCATCCTTACTAAACATATTATAAAAAAATGGGCTTAGTAGCTATTAGTATAATCTGTCAGTATCAGAAAATATAAGCAGCCAATATCGACTAGAAAAACCTTTCAAGCGAGATATCTCAAAAACTGTGAATATTTGGATAGAACTATCCTACACAAAGTACCCTTTATTTTTAATGTAGAATCCGAAAAAAAATATAAAAATGTGAGTTTCCATTTAAAACAACAAAGTTGGTGTCTGGCCAGGAAAAGTGGAACACTCTGTATAGTTGAATATATTTTTAATTTGTACATTCCGAGAAATGTGACAGCACAGTAAAAAGAAAAATACATATATTCCTCATTTTAACATAGATATTGGACTTTCCCGCACTAGTGGGACACGCTGTATACAAGGTGTAAAGGCATTGAATTTCTGCAAAAATGTTTTCGCAATAACTCTCAAAGCGTTTTTCCGGAAAATATGAAACATATTATACAAAATATTTATACCAGTCGTAATTCATACTCTGCAGTATCCAATGATAAATTCTGTAGTATAGGAGCAGAGATTTCGAGTGGCAATTTGTTTTTTTTCAGTAGTCTATTTGTCTCTGACTTTAGAAATAATGTTTTTTTTTTTAATAATTTATTCCATTTGAAACAAAAAATAGTGTAATTTTCCCATAACGTGTTTTATTTCAGTTGTTTGATTTTTTAAATTATTATTATGGCAACTCATGACATTAGGGGTTTCCCCCACCCTTTCTGTCAAGAGATAGAACAAAAAGTCAGTCACATATTTGTACTATTTAATATACCCGAATAGGAAACATTTCTGAGAAAATTTCAACGCTATGTTTTGGTATGTAGATTGCGCCCCCTAGTGGCCGGGCTACGTACTTGAAAACAATTTCCAGCTATTTCTCTTGGTCGATTCATTAATAAAAAAAATTTTCCCGAAGTTCTAGGGTTTGTACTTTCCTTAATATCGTACCTCGCCGACCTTAGTGGGACACCCTGTATATTCTACACGAATGAGAATTTACTTTTTTACACCCTGTACAAATGTACGCGGGAGCGCAAATGGCTCCATCTGTCATGCGGACTCCCAACTGTGCCATTCAATGGCTACAGTAGGAAGTGACCTGCTAACTGCAGGTACTTTGTTGCACGACTGCCACCCACAGAGGGCGTAACACAATGTTTGAGTTGTCAGTGTTGCGAGAAACAACTACTCCGAGAGCTATTTGCCCCTACCGGCATTGAATTACACTCGCAACACCTGTCGCACCTATGACACACTGATGAGAACTAATAAGTCCGAAACCGGTCTGTGCCTGGTGGGTTAAACTGATGACAAACGATCCTAGCTGTTGCACTAGGTGTTGCGAGTATAATTCAGTGCCGGTAGGGGCAAATAGCTCTCGGAGTAGTTGTTTCTCACAACACTGACAACTTAAGCCCTGTACAAATGCTGTCAATTTTTGAAGGAAGTGTTTACTTTCTTTAAAACTCAAATATGCTGTGCTTTAGATACTAATTCGTTGTTTTTTTAACTGAATTGTTCAGAAAATACATGTCACAGCTAGATTAATACTTCTTTAAAAAGCTGTTATAATCATATGCAAAATATAAACATAGGTATAATGAATACCTAACTGAATATGAAGTATTAAAGAAATTATAAATTTGGATTATCACCGGAACGCGAAATTTAAAGTTACACAGGGTGTCTTCTAAATCCACGTTATAACTTAATAAAGGTCGTATGCAATTGGTTTTGCTGCAGGATGTTAAAAAAATCGTATTTATTAAATGTCTCTGAAGATGTTGGCAAAATTTCACTGAACTGACAAATCTGTCAACTAGTGGAAATATTAAAAAGCCATTTTATTAGATTATTATTTGTTTAAATTTAAAATATGTACGTTTATCGCACAGTTAAACTATTTATTTCCAAATAAAGTAGAATTTTTTTTAAATACAATGTAAATAATTCGAAAAAAATATTGCCTGAGTCATACTGAAGGGTCACAATTGCCAAAAGGTATAAAATTTCTGCATTAGTTTCTGTGAAACGAATAGTGTTAGAGATATTTAAAAATTTTTCAACTGTATCATAAGCTTAATCTAAACTTAAGAATAATAACTAGAAAACTAGAAGCACTGCTTTTTTTAATAATATGAAGATTTAAATGATTATTCTATTTCCAAAATATTAATTGGCGTCGAAATTTTAGTAATAGTATCTGCCACTGTTTAACAAAATTGTATAAAAATTTAGTGACTTTTTATCTTTAATTAGATAAAGCATTAACACAAAAGTTGATACACCAAGCGTCTTCTTTAGAGGTATTTGAATAATAAATTTTTTTTGTAAAAATCAACATCCCGTGTTTCGATACTTTGTTGGTTATATCTCTACATTCAAAACGTAAATCATATCCAAATAGTTGACGACGGTGCTGTAGTTGGCAGTTTAGTACAATATCACTAGTTAATGCTATAAAACCTGACAGAAATAATTTATACTTTAGACAAAGGCCTAAGTCGAAAATTCCAGATGTTAGTTGGAAGTCAATGAAATTGAGTAACACATGGTGGCAGTAATTATAAAAAGATGTGTACAGTAGTGTCTGACATGAAATTTCAATTAACTAATTATTGGGTTTTAAATAAAAAATATTCGAAGAAAATAGAACTTTTAAAAGAATTTGGCCTGTGCACCTGGTCGCTACCAGCTACGGAATTACCTAGCCTTACCTGGGAATCTTGGACCTGCCCTTGTTGTTCTCGGGCTAGTCTCTGTGGCGGCGGACCAGCGGCTCTTATTGGGTTTAAGCAGTTTTACATGTAATATTTAATTTCAAATAAATAAACTATTCATTATTTTTTTTGGTACCTTACATCAATTCATGTCAAATAGATTTTGTCAAGACTTTATTCTAGTAGTTTACGAAAAATTAATCTAAATATTGTTAGAAAACAAGAAAATCAAAATGAAAAAGAAGCGCAAAAATATGAATTAATTAGTGTCAAGACCAGGTCCAAGCAATATCAACGCATGCTATCATCACATAATGACTGAACAAAATTTATATGAAATATTGTACTTGATTCATTAACATTCAGTAATATACTTCTGATAAAAAATTTAATGTGTAATTTTTTCAACTTGTTTATATTTACGTTATACCTAATCTGAAATTTGTAAACTTATAAAATTATAAATCACCTTGAAATACCAACGTTTAAGATTTGGGATTGAGGCCAAGGTAATAACCAACTAGTTCCTATATGTATATACATTTAATAGGCCAGTCATTCTACGGGAAAAAGAGCGATTTCAAGAAGAAATTGATAGCAGCAATCTGGCGACGGGATATTGTTAGGGGGGGATAGTTAATGAAAAATACATAAATTAGTACAGCAAATTTTGCCCCCACTCCGAATAAACAATGGCCAAAGTAGTCAAAATGAGGTTTTTCTCAAATATAATTTTTCAGAGGGAAGATAGAGAAAAAGTCTTCGAATGAAAGTTGTAGGTATTAAAAAACCTACAATTTTTTTTACGCATTAAAATCGGTGCGTTATTTATCGAGATAATTGCAAAAACATGCATTTTTGCCAGTGATTTTTAATTGTCAATAGTTTTTGCAATAATGGTTATAGGTGAATTTTAATCTAACCCTTTATATGTGGCCACAAATTGGACCCGATCGGTGCAATAGTTTATGAATAATTGCATTTGTTTATCCCAAACACGATTTTTTAAACGATTGAGCTAGGTCAGTGAGTGCATAAAAATCAATTTAAACGCCGGGAAATGATAGTTGAAAGTCTGAAAATTATGGTATGTTAAAAAAATCGATTTTTTTTTTAAATTTTGTTGCATTTTTTTCCAATGCAAAAAAGGGGTATTTTTTTATAAATAAATAGAAGTAACTCCGCAACTACTGTTCTCAAGAACAAGACAGTCATATCACTGGATAGCTGGTAAAAAAACAAAGATTAAAAAAATATATGCCCTACGCCCTTTCTAAGCCGAGATAGCCCTTTAAAAAAAAATCACAGCTTCATTGTTTATAAACATTAAGGGCTGAAATTAATGCTATGTATGCATAAAGGTCTAAACTTTATGATACATTCAACTCCACGAAGATTGATGAATAAATAAAAAAATTATAGTAACTCAAAGTGGAGGTAAATTTTTTTAGCTCGATCAGTCGGCGTGGGGGGGGGGATGTGGCGGAACCAGCTCGTGCTGGAAAAACAGAACAGATTCAAAATCGTGCCTGCTCGAAAATTGTGTAATATCTCGGCTTCCGCTTGACGTAGAAGTTTCATTTTTTTAACTGGGGTAGCTCGTCGAAAAAATGACGTCTAGACCACCAAGCAACCCCTAAAATAAGGGTTAGTTACAACTTGACTACATATACCTTGCAATCTTTCTATCTTGCCTGTGAAAAATTATATTTGAGAAAAACCTCATTTTGACAATCAGCCAATAAAAAACAATACGTCATCAAATACCTCAGTTTATCTTCGTTCAACAGTCATCTCTTTCTGACTCATTGCATTTCCCATAAGAAAACAAGAGGCAAATTTAAAATTGTCACTTTTCTTGTACCACGCTCCTTTTAACATTAAATAATAAATTTAATCAGTTATGATTATGGTTAATTAACAGGTATTTTGAGTCTAAAATGTTACCTTTATATACAAACTGAACCTTTACATTGGAATTTGGAAATAAAAGGATGAAATGTGAAATTGTCTTGAATACACATCACGATCGGTCATCATTTTTGACGTTTCGTTACATAATTAACCTAAAATTTGTGTTAATTTTATTACAGATATCTATTAATATCCATAAACCCTAATGAAATGAAGAGGGGAAGTGAATATATAAACAATTTAGACCTATCTTAATATTCTCTTGGCTCCAAAATAAAAACTGTGTACAGTTTATATGATATTGTATCTGCTTTTGTCTAGTTAAATTTCAAATAACTTACTAAAGTACTTTATAATAGGCTGCAACATAATTTATTTTTAGTACCAACTAAAGTTTTACAGTTAATGTTCCGAATTAAAAAATTCCTAAGTTTTTACAAGGAAAATACCTATACAGTAGTTTTTAGTTTTGAAAGAGTTTTTTTCGGTGTTCGGAATTAAATGGACTATGGAGGAATAAAAGGAAAGAAAGAAGAGGAAAAGTTAATCGCACAGAACTTTTGACATAACATTTAATTTTAAGAAAAATTGTCAAGTTTACGATAATATGAAAATCACATTTCGATAGAGAGGTACTTAAAATTTCCAATCGCTTTTCTAACAATCATATCAATTTGTTATACAACAATAACAATAAATTTGGTCCTTTTGAAGTGAATACAGTCAGTTAAACTAGGAATTTAATATTTAACCTGTTTTCTTTAAGTCTTTTTCTTGATGATAAACTTAATAGCTCTGCTTGAAGATCTCGTTTAAAGTTTGAGTCTTCAAAATGTGTGCTACAAATATGTCCAGTTATATGATTAAACAAATCGCGTCTTTTGCACCGTTCCACCCATATATTTTTAAGTTTTTATCCTTAGGAAACACATTAAATACTTTATTTAAAGTGTTTTTAAATTTTCTTGTTTAACATTATAAAAATTATTATTGCAAATTGCAACACTACACCTCACTGCTGGAATTTTTACGTGGTAAATTAATAATTTATATTAAACACTAAACCATCAACTTATTAAAAACTATTATCAATAACTAACTAATTACTGCAAAATACCCAAACAACTATGAAAGATTTACTTAAATACTTGGAAAAATGCAAAATTACTAGTGAAGTCGCATGTAAACAAACATGAATCCTAAAGATCACTAATTTTGTGACGTAGTATGAGATAAGCCACGCCCATAATTTCTGGCTATTACTTGACCGTCTTTTTTATGGACCGTGCATTTTGACTACTTTGACCATTGTTTATTCGGAGTGGGGGCAAAATTGGCTGTACTAATTTATGTATTTTTCATTAACTATCCCTCCCTACAAGATCCCATCGTCAGATTGTTGCTATCAATTTTTTCACGTTTTTCCGTAGAATGACTGGACTATAATTCTACTTTACTAACAGCACTACATTCTTGCTTTATGGCTTATTATTAATTAAAAACCAAAAAGTTGAAATATTAAAAATGGTTTTATGAATTGCCTGTCGAGTTTATCTCGGAATTCATTTATGTACATTCTAACTGAAAAATAGCGTTTATATTGATTCTTTTTCAACTTTCAAGTAGTGCTGTGATTTCCACTAAAGTTAATTTTAATTTTCAGAGTACGTACCCGACGCAATTGCCACAGAATGCATAAAGTGCAGTCCAATTCAAAGGAAGCAGGCTGGTATCGTCTTGTCTCACATTCTGCTGAATTATAGGGATGACTTTAATAAATTATCACAAAAATATGACCCAGAAGGCAAAGCTCGGAAGATGTATAACATCGATCAAGACGGCGAGGACGATTACCAAGACTTGGAAGAAGCTTAATTTATAATGCTGACGTCTTTTAAACATTTCTGACGAAATACTTTAATATTCCTGTATATTTTTGTTATATACATTAAATTGTTTTTAGATATGTCATTGTTCTCAATGTGACAGAATGTTCCAGAAAAGCAGGTCAATCCGGTAATCACAGGGAACTCCTGGGATCAATATAAATATAAAAATGTTTAAAAACAAATATAGGACGTTAAAATAAAATTTTCAGTGCCTTTTTTGTAATGTAGTCGATGATGTTCGAGATATTAACTTAAAATTTGACAAGGATGTTATTAATTCAATTGCAATTGTGATGAATTTATGATGTATGCACTTTGAAAAACAAATGAGAAACGGGGTTACATTGACTCCCCAAGTGCCCAACTTTTTTTGTATATAAGTCTATCATTATTTTATTTTAACTTTGCGATTATTTTACTTTCAGAAAATGTTTCAGAAATACATAATATGTGTTTGGAACTAGACGATGCTTCACCTCATTATGGTAAAAATGTGCGTCAATATTTCAATAGTAAATTATTCCGAAACCGCTGGATTGGCTAAGGCCAAAATGCCCCTGTTCAGTAGCCACCACGGTCATCAAATTTTAAGCTAATGGATTTCTTTTTCTGGAATAGTATGAAGGAGATTATTTGATACTAGTATGAACCTTGGTTAAAATGTTTTTATAATTTTTTAAAAATATGTGTACCTATATCTTTGTCCTTATCTTACGTACTCTTGAATTAAGTGCACCTCATAAAGTGATCATGTACGTACAGTCTTTTGAAAAGTGGTATTTATCTCGAAAGCTTGGTAATAAATAATTCAATGTAAGATAAATTAAAAATTTTTAAGAGAGATAAAATAATATTAAAAAATTATGTTCCTAAAAATTAAAGAAAAATATATTAAGGCGTTTCCACAAAATGGGTGTAGTAGGTAAGGAGGCACGACCACCCCGTTTTTCATTTTTTTATGTGCATTTTCTATAAACTCATAACAAAAGCACTGGAAATTTTGAAGTTAATATCTCGAAAATCGTCGAAGTTATTAAGAATTTGAGAATTCTATTTTAACGCCATATACTTTTAAAGAAAATATTTTGATATAGGCAATTCATCTATTTTGATCACAGGAGTTTGTGAATAACTGAATCGGTCTTCTTTTCTGGACATCCGTATTTATTTATTTTAATGTGCCGACCATAGGTTCCGACCACAGTTTCCACTAATTTACTTATTATAAGTGATGGAAATTAAAATAATATCGTAAATTAGCAGATGCACAATTCAACAAAAAAGAGTACCAAAACAAAAAAAGGGTATAATTTAAATGAATAGATGTACAATTAAAATTGTTTAAAGTAAGTTAATGATCTAATAACATATCAATATAACTGACATCATTTGATATAGTATAATGATTATAGCACAAAATTGTTCTACATATAGACGTACCTACTTATACCCACATTTGTTCCACAAAAATTCGTGCCAAATATGTCAAACAAATAATTAGTTCTAGTATTTATAAGTAAATGTAAATGTTTAACAAGGATACATGTTCAGAACAATAGAAATACGAAATAAGTTAGTTGAAATGCTTGATTTGTCACCATATCTAGAACATTATACAGGGTGATTCATAAATGAAACCTCATATTCTTGGTCGAATTTTAAGACTGTTTCCTGTAAAGTTTTTATCTAGGACGCTTCGTTAAAAAGATACAGGGTGTTAAACTTCAAAAAATATATTTATTTTTTTTTTAAATAATTTAAAAACTGGTAAGTGAAATATTTTGGAATTGGACTCATGTATTTATGTAAACATTGTCCAAAATCTGAGGGCTTTTCCTAAAATTTACATGCTCCAATGGCGGAAATATCGTTTGCATATTTATCTAAATAAAATAGTACGCCACTGCTTTACAGTAACAACCATGAAATTTTCGGATTCGTCTCAATTTTCTACAAATTACTACTCTCTTATGTTTTTCGAAGAAAGACTAATTTTCGAGTAAAACTTAAAAAACCAACTAAAAACACTGTTACTTAAATAACACGACAAGCACTAATCATTCGGTTATTTATTCGAATAAAGAACTTAATAACATTAGTCATCATTTTAATGATTTTATTTAAGCAAATGCTCAAAAATACCTCCATTTGCACGAACAATTTAAACTAAATTTAATGTTGTCGTATAAATCCATTGAAATTAATTTAGTGAATTTTTACTTTTACTTAATTGCTGCTCTAATCTAATAAGTTTTATAAATCTGCACGAAACATCTTCCAAGGAATCATCTCTTGAAATATTTTTACTTGATTTTTACCTTTATATACTGTTCAGGATTTCCTGAATGCAAGAATACTACCAGTAACAATAATATTTTACTTAGAAAAATTATGAGTAGAAGAATTGCTAGATATAATATACTCAATACATTCTCAAGACAATCTTATTGATGATATAACTTCAACCATACCCTAGTCTTAGGTCTATTACTTTTAGTTAAGTATCACAAGCAAAAACTTCGAGAAAAATTATTATTTTCATGCTACCAATTATTTTTCGGTCTAAAAATTATATCTTTTAGTTAGTTATACATTTTATCGAGAGAAAGAAACATAATTTTCTTTATCTATGTAGATTCACTTAATATTCTACCAGTTTTAGCGAATTATGAAGAGTCAGTAAATAAACTAAAATATAGTTCACACTTTCAAAACAAATATATGATAGGTATGTATATCACTGTAATTAGAAAAAGGTGAGAATTCCAAAAAGCGACATAGAGCGTTTCATTAAAAAAAAATGGTTTTATATCTTCAAAATGCAACAATCAATCGTATCTTTTATGTTTTTCTAGAACTTTGATCTCTAGTATTTTTTCCTAGACAGGGAGGTAAATAAGATAAGGAAGGTAGAATGGCATATTTTTCATTTATCGATATAACTGGAATAATGAGGGATTACAGCAATAATCCTTTTTCGATATTCAGACTCATTCGTAATCTTGATGTTCATTAACTTATCAGTAAAATCTGTTACATCTTTGCATTGGTTTAAGTCAGGTACTTCTTCATTTTCACAAGGAGTCACATTCAAAAATGTAGTTAACATTAACACGCCATACAAAGAGTACTTCTTCCAGTGGCTTTGAAGGGTTGTATAAGGAAACAGCTTTTCTGGGTCCCATCCTAAATTTGTTGAAAATTTGTAAAAACTGGCGTAGTAGGTTTTTAATAGCTCTTCGAAATGTTTTAATTCTTCTACTGAGCATGTAGAATAGATGAGGTTTGATAAGTCCAAAACTGGAGAATGGAGACTACATTAGAATCCTAAAAAAAATACATGCAAAAATAAAAATTACTCTGGGACATGTACCTATAGTAGCATGCGATACTAAATTTTGTTAAAAAGTATGCAAACAAGTCATGTGCTCTCATTCATACTTTTTATACAATAAATTCAGAAAAATTGAATCATGCAAAATATAACCATTTTTCCTTAAATATTCCATCACGATGAAATCCACGGTTTCATCAGATATATATTTGTAACACTTTGGAACAGAGCTAAATATATGTTTAATGTTATTCTGTATTTGAAAATTTGTGAACTGAGGTAAAATTGTTTCATAAAAATACGCTTCCCTTCTGAACAATTGTCTATTACTTTGGATTAAATTCTTTCTGCTACTCTTGGCGTTGTCGACATTTTCCGCTGTAGTAATCAAAACTGTGGCAAAGGTAATATTGGAGGCGTATCCATCAGAATTTTGACTGGAACCTGTCAAAGCTACATCACATTTCAGAAAGTGTTGGTTTTCTAGGGCCATCTTAATGTAGTTCTCAATTTCTTGATCAGTAGTTTCCATACTAGTAGCATAAATGAAATAATTAAATGTTTACGCTATAAATTATTGCAAAGAAATACACCACTGCCACTTAAAAACACTTATTGTAATATTGGAAGTTGGAGATTATTAATTGCCTTGGTTCCGACACTGGAAAATTTAAGGTCGAAATGTTACGTGATTATAACTGATGCCCCATTATGGTTTTTTCCCAGAACGAATTTAAATTTATTCACTTGACAAGATAAATGGTGGCCACTAGCAATGAGTAAGTATTATCATTGTTGTATTAGCTTAACGTTTGATGTACCCAGTCGTTACATGAAAACGTTAGATCCGATTGAAGTTTGCTTTTAAAAATAAAATTGAGTAAACAGTATTTTACTGAGTAATTTTTAACAGGCATCTCAGGATATGTATGAGAAAGATGGAATAAAGTTCCATAAAAAAAATAGAGTAGATGTAACTCGGAAATACGATATTCTATTGTTTTTTTTTCTGTTATTGATAACAATAATATTCCTTTTAAGAAATGCTAGAATATTTTCAGAATTCAGTCCGATACAAATAAGGTTGCGGATTCTTTCTCAATCTCACGCAGCTCTGTCTGCCTGAGTCAGAAATACAAACTTATTTGTGGGTCAGTCAGATTTTTTTACATAATTTCCAATTTAAATGATACACTGATGACAAATAAGTCCGAAACTGGCATCTGTTTGCTGATTCAACTGGCGAACAAACCCAGCTGTCTTTTTGGATACTGTAGGAAATCATGGAGTACTTGCTTCCTGCAATATCATCAATTAAACCGTACCTATATCAATAGCAGCAAAGACATTGTTTGATAATGCTTCCTTCGCTGGCTCTCCGTGTAAAATTTGGTTTGATATTGCTATTTTGTTTTTTTTTTTTAGTTTGTACCAAAAGTATTGCCTAATACCTATCAACTGAACAGAATACTTTAAATTACTGTAGCTAACAAATAGTCGATCATGTGTTGTTGTTGATGACCTAAAAGTGACGTATCTTTTATTAATTTGAACCACAATTCTCAAGTCTCGTTTCTTCATAAAATTTTGAAAATTATGGGTTTTTGACTTTTTTTGAATTTTCACTATCAAAGTATCTATTACCAAGATCTTCCCATACCAACGTTACAATTTTATGAAACTCATCCTTGGTACATGCACCACGATTGCCAAAAAATACTACAACCTTAAATCAAAATATCTATATCCTTACTTCCATTCAAAGTAATAGTTTAATTTCATAATTATGTTTTTCTTAGAAGGTTGTTTAATAATACATACTACGTAGTTATAAAGTTTAGCTTTAGTTATAAAGTTTATCTTTATTACTTCATCACTAGTAGTATGCAGTAGATACAAAGTAGGTATTTTCTATACCAAACATTTCATTTTCTGTCTCACAAAGGGTGGGTACTCAATGCACTAAGGTGTCGAATAAATCTTACGACTTAATATCCAGTTTTAGAGTTTCTCCTGAAGCAGAAAGAGTGCGAAATAATTACCGAAACGTCAAGAAATTAAACCTACGCGACGTGGTAACCAGTTTGGACATTGTTCTCTTAAATAATGCAATTAGAATTGTAACTATGGCCAAACCCTATTAATTAGCCACATCTATTGTATATTTTATTAACAGTTAAATTCCGAATATTGAGATATTTCAATTATTTTTATAGGGATGTTCACAAAAAATAAAATTATGTTTAAACGGCTTAAAATGATAAAAATGGCTTCTGTGAAGTTTTACAACAATCAAAAAATTTGTTGTATGGAAAAGCCGAAAAGAAATATCAGTATTCGTCTAAACGCGCGAAACGCTCTCTGTTTGGCTTTGCGAAAAATAGAAGTTAGTGAATGTAAATGGCATGGCGTGCCGGTGAACAATCTCGATATTTCTGCTGAGAGACGTTGGCTGTTTGACGCTTAGCTTGGTCGAGTGTATGGCACGTGTTTTATGGTAGTCAGTAGCATTGTGTATCGTAAGCATAGAGCGGCACACGGCTGATTTCTGCTACTACAACGCGCATTGCCGTTTACTGGCTGTTTATTTACTTGACTGACGCCACAACGTTTCCGATGTCTAGGTATTACAAATTAAATGTACAGCTTTGTTACTTTGAAAACAGGGATGTGAAAAATAAAACGATTAATCCAAACGTTGCTCAATGCAAAACGTTGCTCCTTTTCAATCTGCAGGGTGTTAAAGTTAATTTTTTTTTTATTTTTGGAACTAGGTACCTTGAGCATCTTTGAACTTATTGTCTTGAATGTTTATATGCCTATGTTTTCTGAGGTAGTAATTACAAAAATGATAACTATCAGTTCTAGGGGGCGCTACTTGTAGTGTTATGTCAGAGTAAAAGTATATTAAACTTTTTCCCTCAAAAATCTGAAATTCTAATAAGAAATTATTAAACTAAGTTAAATTCTAAAAAAAGAGTACCTATATCTGTTAATAATCGAAAACTTTCCGTTTCCGAAATAAAGACGATTTACAATTGTTTTACAAAATTATACGCCTTTAAATAAGAAGACTTAAATAAAGTAGGCCGCTGTCAATGAAATGTCATGTATTGCTTATATCAGTTCTAAGCAACTTATAAAGACTATACAGTTTAGTTCTTCTTCGTTTGTGATTTGTTATTGTGGTAGTCATACAGCAGCGAAGTACTTGGAGTTATATTCAAATAACAGACAACCTAACCACAAGCTTTTCAAGATGTTGTACTTATCATTTTCGTATTTACCACCTCAGAAAACATAGGCATACAAACGTTCAAGACAATCGGTTCAAAGATGCTGAAGATATTCCAAAAAATTGAAAACAATTTTCCAACTTTTAACACCCTGTAGATCGAAAAGAAGCAACATTCAGATAAAGCATATTTGGCGTAATAGTTCTATTTTGACGTCAGTAGTCTGTCATTAATCTCTGTCCCACGTACCTTGTACAATTAACTTTTAAGAAAATAAACTTGTTTTCCTTTTAACTAAAACAGGTATATATAAATAAATGGCCTTAGAACTACAATGTTTTATTTTAATTATAAAATACCGAACAAACGTAGGTATTAAACAGTACATATAGCATATATAGAATATTATTACAACATTTCATGTGTCGCTAAAGCTGCAATAATGGTTGATTACGGCAATAATCCTTTTCCGATATTGATGTCCATCTGTAATCTTAATATCCATCATTTGCTCTATATATTCTGATTCATTCTTGCATTGGCTTAAGTCAGGTACATCTTCGGTTTCACAGAGAAACAAATGCAAATACATAATTACCGTCAACAACCCAAATAAGGAATACTTCTTCCAGTGCCTTAGTAGGGCTGAATAAGGAAACAGACTTTCTGAGTTGCACCCTAACTCTGTTAAAAATGCGGAAAAACTGGCGTAGTAGGTGTCCAGTAGCTCGTCGAAATGTTTTAATTCTTCCCCCGAACAGGTAGTGTAGATGAGGTATGATAAGTCCAAAACTGGAGAATGAAGACGAGAAAGCTGCCAATCCAGGATAGCAAGTTTTGATGGATTCTTAGAGCCCTTAAAAGAAAACTTTCAATATTTAAAAAATATCTAATAGTCCGGTCAATCTAGACATTCAAAGATACATAAATTTACAACAAGCTGAAAGTGAGTAAAGTTGTTCAAAACATAATTAAACATATTAAAATTCCTCATCGTTCCGGTACTTGGAAAAAAATTAACTCGAGGTAAAAGGTCAAAAAATGGGTTTTTCGCGGTTTTCAGCTAAACGGTAAGTTTTATCATAAAATTACTTCGTACAAAAATTGTAGACTATAAAATTATCTATAAAAAATGTATCAATACTTTTTTTCATAAGAGCTACCGTTTCTGAGATATAACGATTCAAAAAGTTGTAATCGTCATAATATGCACACGTTTCCACGCCACCTATGAGGTAGTGTACTTGGCACGTTTTTTTTAACGTGGTTTCCCCAGTAGGCCTATTCCACAGGTCTGTTGTGATTCTGTTTAGTTTGAAACTATTGCATAATAACAGCATTATTAGCAAGGGTTGGAAATGATAAAAGCGATGGAAATTAAAAAAAAAAGTAGTGGAATTTATTCGTCTAATTCATAACCTTCAAATACTTCTTCTTGATCTTCTTCTTCTTCTCCTTCTTCTTCTTCATTCAGGGTGTAAGTAAATTGCGTCAATAGTGATGTATCGCATGTCTCCTCGTTGGTATCAAACGAATCCTCTACTCTTGGTGATTCAACATTAGAACACGACCGGCCTTGACAACTTGTACATGTCAGAGAACAAGACAATCCAACTTTTTTGCAACCACATTTAGCACTGCATCACTTTTTACAGTTACAGTGGCGTACTTATGCATATTATGACGATTACAACTTTTACAACTTTTTGAATCGTTATGTCTCAGAAACGGTGGCTCTTAGGAAAAAAAGTATTGATGCATTTTTTATAGATAATTTTATGGTCTACAATTTTTGTCTGAAGTAATTTTATGATAAAGCTTACCGTTTAGCTGAATCGCGAAAAACCCATTTTGTTGACCTTTGACTTCGAGTAAATTTTTTTCCAAGTACCGGAACGATGAGGAATTTTAATATGTTATTTTTAATTATGTTTTAAACTATTTTACTCACTTTCAGCTTGTTGTAAATTTATGTACCTTCACTCTTATTTTTTGGTCTAATTTGACCGGACTATAAGATATACGGAGTATTTCTTAAATAAGTTCCCATAATAAAGGTAATCCTTTACATAATTTTAGGTAAAAAAAATGGTTTTCGAGATATACTGTGTTAAAGTTTTTGAAAAATATCAAATCTGCGCAAATATCTCGAGTGGCCTGCCCAAATTTTAATAATCTGTTTTTCGAGATATTTAATTACTTATTTGTAATATTTTCCCTTCATCACTACATATCTCATACCAGGATTATCAGACAACTTAGAATGGAAATTTTTTTTCTTAAATTACACAGCTTCACAAAATGTATTTTGAGCTGCTAAATTCGAATCCGATGTCAGAATTAGCCCAGCATATCACTAGAATTTTCTAACATCAAAAAGAAACACAAAATCGACAAAGCGGCTGAAACTAGTAGTTAGATTTTTATTTTCCCATATATCTTGACTCGCTGAACACGAATCCGAAGTCAGATTTGGGCCATAAAGTCACAAATCCTTCCTAACCTTAAAAAACTTAAACGTAAACAAAATTGATAAATTAGCTTCTATTACCCAGGTATAGCTTAACAGCGTCAAGTCTGATCTATGTATTTCAGTGCATTTTGACCCTCTGAATCCGAATCCGATGTCAGAATTCCCAGCAAATCACCAACTTGAAAAAATGTTAATGTTCTCGAATTTTAGAATGATAGGGGCAATGATGTATTTTGGTCATTTGCACAAGAAATCTCAGTTACCTATCACAAGTATTATGCAGGTACTTTATCTACAATCGCGCATTTTTTTAAAATATTTGTTTGATTTAAAAAAAATGACCCTTTAAATATCTTCACACGACTGTATCTTTTGATACATGATGTAATTTGAAATTTGGACAACTAACTCTCTAGTCTTAATAATAATAAAATCATCCAACTTTTACATTACATTTTTTCATTTTACTTAATTTTGGTAAAAAAATAGATTCGAGCATTTCTGAAGGAGAGATATCAGAAATAGAGAAACTAGCATCAAAAGCCGGAAAAGTCTAGGGTAAGATATGAAGAGAAATACAAAACTTTCACGCAATGGTGTGTCCCATAAAAAGCACTAAGCATTAAAGAAAATACTCTAATTAATTATTTGGCTGACAATTTTAAAACCAAAAAATCTTGCTCGCTTTGGTGCTACTGCTTCATGCTGAGAATCATATTGGATGTGAAAAAGAATGTAAATATTGAAAAATATTCTAGACCAGAGGTCCCTAAACTTTTCTATCTCGTAGAACACGTACTAATTTTTTCTGTTTTGGGTGGACCCCCATCTGCCTTTCTGATACTGAATTGTTACAAATTCATCAACTTCAAATGTATTTTTGACACCCGACACAGTACAAGTGTTGCGACCACAAAGCGAATAGCCTACTGTAGAATTTTATGAAATATATTTAATTAATGTGTAAATGACTATGAAATTTATAATAATTCTTAAACAGTTTGATATACGCATAAGAAAATAATAACTTAAATTTCAGTAACAAAAGTATAACAATAATTTTATTGTTTTTTATTATTAAGTAGGTACAACGAAATATGTTGATTGGACTCAAGGGAATATTCTAACAATTGGCATTAATTAAAATTCAAAGCAATTAAGTTATTTGTTTGACCCGTCGACAGAGAATGATTCCATCATCGATCTCCAATTTTCCCATAATTAAAAACTGTTTTATGTATTTAAATAATGTCAGAATAGAATCTGTCTAAAACTTTACTTGATACACATCCAAAATGAATAGTTAGCTTATTACCTCGTATTTATACATAAAGTTGTTGCTCCAACCATCACCATGAAGAATAGCCGACATGGGCTCTTCGGTTTCCAAAATTTCAATCATAGCAACGTAAGCATCTTTCTCCACAATTTTATAACACATCTCGTATAATTTCATTTCACCTACTTCCTTAACGATATCACAGGCTCTTACGAGACACTGTTGCATCGTCTTTTTGAAAGATTTCATACAGAAATGTGTCATAACTTCGTCAAAATTAGTTACCAACTTTTCAAAATCACATCTGCTTTTATTTCTTAAAGCAAAAGAAATGGCATGGAATTTACCATATTCTTGTAATACAAGCTTAAGATGGTTTAAATCCAATGGTTTTTTGCGATCGAATAACTCATATCCATTCTTTTTCAAGTTTTCCATAACTATAATTTCTACGGTTTCATCGGATATTGTTCTATAGCATTTTGGGACAGAGCTAAAAACATTTTTTATGTTATTTTGCATTTGAAATTCCGTGAACGCCGGTATAACGGCCCCATAAATGTATGCCTCTCTACCGTACAGTCTTGGAATAGCTTGGATTAATTTTTTCTTGCTGCTTTTGACAGCCACTTCAATAGTCTTCTCGATGCCATCCTTTGTAGTAACCGAAACTGTGGCAAAGGTAATGTCTGAGACAAATCCGTCAGAATTTTCGCTGGAACCGGTTAAGGCAACTTCGCATTTCAGAAAACGCTGGTCTTCTAGAGCTTTCTTAATATATGTTTTAATTTCTTGGACTGTAGTTGCCATATTTGTTGCTGAAAAGCCCTGCGCACAATATTGATAATTGCAAAACACTGCACCGTTGACACTTAAATAGGACTTACTGGTTGTAATGCCAAGGGTGCAGCGCTTGATTCATAAGTGCCAGAATTATGATTGACAAAGTGGTCAAAATAATTATGCGGTTGTAACTGATAACAATCTATTAAAATCGTTTTAGAACCAATTTAAATTTATTCGCGTGATTAGATAAATGCTTCCCATTAAAGATGAGGGAGGGGTGCGCGATGTCGATATTAATATTGATCCTTCTGTAAACTTCTATAAAAGGCATTAATTTGTTTAGGAATTCTAGTCATATTGTTAATGTTTAATCTGCCTTATGTACTCTTGTGTTTGTTATGCTTCAATACTTTAAAACAAGTTATTTTTGCAATTTGTTTTAAAAAAAATTAGTTTAAAAAAATTGTGACCAGGTTACCGCCGGTAACATTTTGATCCTCATTCAAGGACATCTCACGGAGGTGATCATGCAAAAAAATCGAATCCACTAATTTTTTTATAAATAAATGGTTTTCAGTATGGAGTCGTAGCACCAGTCAAGATTGTTTGGTTTTAAAATGGTCAGCGAAATAACCTAATATTTTCATTAATAGTATACCATTGCGTGAAACTTTTGTATTCCTTTTCATACTCCGTAGACTTTTCCAGCTTCTATCGCTTTTTTCACTATTGTTTACATCTCTTCTTCAAAATCGTTCGAATCCATTTTCTTATTTTCAAAATTAAATACTAGACACAGTAAAAGATATAAACAATATGGCGATTTTAACAACAACGCATTGTTTATGTCACCGCAGCAACAAGTATATAAGATCTAAAAAAAAATTGAACAAGTTAAGATGATTTTAATATTGTTAACGACAGAGACATAGTTCTTATCAAATTCAAAATTACAGACCATATAAAAAGGCTACACTGGCGTTTTTTTAAATTGAAACAAATATTTCTAAAAAAAATACACGGTTAAAGATAACTTATTGCACATACTTGTGGTAACTGGGTTTTTACCACACTTATCAAATAATATACTAATACGGTACAATCAGGACCACTGTCTGTAGCACGTTCCATACTGTTAGGGTTGCATACCTACTATTTTTTTTTATTATTTATTTTTATTAATCTGGAACAACAAACTGTCTTTCATTTGATAATTTTTACCTTAGATGATTTATTTTTGCACGAGATTCACCTAGTTCTTTTTTTATAAGGTGTTGATGTTAAAATCGCTAATTTCTTCACTTTGTCAATCTCTTAGTTTGTTGAATTTGAAATGATAAGCTAGTTTTAGGGCAGATAAACTGAAACAGACTGTTTTTGTCGCCATCTTTTCTCTTTAAACATAATCAACGCGATAGTTTTCATTTTGTTGAATCTTCTCTGCATTTACAATCACTAGATTCTATTTCCAAATTAGTCGTAGCAAAACGTAAGAAATTATTTCTATCAACTAGCCAATCCCCTGTTTTTACATCATTTGTAAATAGTAAATTAATTTGATTGCCAATTCAGTTTTCCTAACAATGTAATATGTATGACCAAGCCCTGCCTAGAAATCATTACTCAACAATTGTATACTGAAAACTATTTTTTATTAACTGAACATTTGGAATTGATATGGGATCTTATGCATTTTTTTAGACGATAGCCAATCTCATAGATTTCCATATGTAAGTACATACATAATTCTTATTGTGAACTTTACCTAGATAGGCTTACAATTAAATGAAATTAAAAAAAAAAACATATTGCAACAGATAATTACTTATTTACTTAAGCAATGAGTAATAATCTTTGTTTATAAGCAATTTGTTTTAGTACGGTGGAATTAATTTCAGGCTCATGAATCTATGTAGCTGCAATAATGACTAATAGCTGCAATGAGCCTTTTCCGATACTCCGACTCTTCTGTAATCTTAATAGCCATTAATTTTTCTGTATAATCTGCTTGATCATCACATTCATCAAAATCGGGCACTTCCTCGTCATCGCATAAAATTAGATGTAAATATGCAACTAACGTTAATACTCCAAACAAAGAGTACTTCTTCCAATGCTTTTGCAAAGTAGAATAAGGGAACAGTTTTTCTGGGTCGCTGCCCAATTCTGTTAAAAACGTGGAAAAACTGGAATAGTAGGTTTCCAGCAGTTCGTCGAAATGTTTTAATTCTTCTTCTGAGCAGGTGGCGTAGATGAGGTAGGATATGTCCAAGGCCGGAGAATGTAGACGTGCTAGCTGCCAATCTAAGATAGCAACCTTTGATGGAACCTTAGAGCCCTGAAAAAAGAGGACATTATATTCCAGTACACATTCTAAAAATGCAAAGTTCAGTTTTAAACTATACACAAACGATAAGATAGAAATGAGGACTACAGTAAAGGATATAACTACTATACGCTTAATCTTATTAAAAATAAGACAGAACACATGCAACATTTGTATACAGAGTGTTTTCTAAGTGGGGGGCTGCTTCTAATACAGCGTAACATTTTCCAAAAAATTCCAAAATAAATATTTTGGAAACAAACGCAGTTTCAAATGATTTTAATTCAGGTCCTGTTCTTTACTAAGAAAAATGTTGTAAATTCGTGTAAATTTTTCTCAATTAGACACGTTTACGTGACTATTTTTGTAGGTTGCCTAAAGTGATATTATAGCTCGTACTTGTTACAATAATGCAGTAGTATACAGCTTGGCTAAACTGATCTTGTCCTCTAGATGAGCATATCAAGAAAATAACCTGCGGTGAAAGGGACAAAGACAGGAGATCTTAATAATAGTATAATTAAAGTTTTATATTAAATCTTTAAATATATAAAAAAAATGTCACTGCCATTAGTAGCAGCTGTGGGAGCTCGAGGACAAGGTGAATTTGGTCAAGTTGTACATTATTACAGTTTACGGGGAATGTGCTAACAATATAGCGGCGGCAGCGTTTGTTCTTCGAACGTTTCACTGAAAGGTTAGGGATACTTATTGGTAATCGTGAGAATCCAACAACTTGGTCCAAGAAAATCAGGCGAAAGTTAGGGAAATTTTGATTGAAAATCAATACCATCCCTACTAAGTTCAACTTTCAAGTTTTAACTTCAGAAAGCTATCCACGTAAGATCTAGTACAAGAGCATATTCTCAGTAGTATTTCATACGCAATATTGTTTTTTTGGATGGGAATGTGACTTTAAACAAAGATATAGTTTCATTACCTTGAAAAAAATCCACTGTTAAAATAAATATCTCAAGTGAACCTAAGTGTAACGGAACACCATTTATAATGATAAAAGTAATTAAGTCATAAAACTTAACAACAAAACTTTTACACTATTTTTAATTAATAGTTAAATAGACAGATCTTTATTTTTAGCAGGTAAACACACCCAATAGCAGGAAAATATGCTGATACATTAAATAGAATCTGAATTTAGCTATTTAGCAAAATTCGAAAATCAATTTACAAAGATTAACAAGGTACTTGTGAGAAACAATCCGACAAGACGTTAAAAAAATCATAGATGGGAAATATTAACATTAATAAAAGAATAATTACTTATTACTTATAAAATAAAGGACACATCTATATACCAGATAGTGTTGAAAGATTAACATTACTATTACTACAAATTAAACTGGAATTATTAGGTGACCTAATAAAAAAAAATATTAGTTATAGCACATTCATAGTAAAAAGTTCTTTAATGTCTACCGATTAAGCTTTGATGCCTTTATCCATACAAGTACCTAAAAAAATACACACGTTCAATTAGACTGATGCATGTTGTATAGTAAGGCAAAAATGCCTTATTCTGTATTACTATGCAGAAAACACAAAAATAATGTTTGAAAAACAAATATATTGGAGAATTCTCTACCATTGCTTAGAATAGAGCCGAACATTTTATTATCTGAAGAAACCACATTTTCAATATATGCAGAAAATTAAATTTTCTAATCAAATAATACACCGAGATCAGTTATTCGAGTTAAACAATTGCAATCAATATTATTAATATTATATGGAAACTATAAATTTTTGCAATATCAAACGGTCATCAATATTGTGAACATTATAGTAAATTTTTAAATCATCAAATAACTTAGAACATACTAAATTCAGTGGAAAATCATTTATATATAGAAATAGAAATTAATAGAAATAATAAAGGTCCTAAATTCGACCCTTGAGTTGTCCCAGATGTAGGTGTTACAAGAAAGGAACAGTAATCTTCATGTTCTACTATTCTGCTATCAAAAATTTAAGGTTTGAAGATTTAACCACTATATACAGCGGTTCTCATTATGAATGGGATGCATCTTAATAGTAAATTTCTGAGTTCTTAAGCAGATCGGCTTGAAGATTTCAGGATACATGTGTTTTAGGGGCTGAATTTTAATTTTAAAATCATTGCTACAGAACGCTAGGTAACCTGAGTGATAGAGTAAATATGAAACAAACTTTGTCGCATATCTACATTTTGGATTTAAAATAGTTAAAATTTAATAATTTTTGAGTAAATAATGTAGCTACTGGTTGAAAGTCGAAAGACTTTCCTAAAAATCCTATCAAAAAATTAAATAATGCTCTTTGATACCAACAATCTAAGTATGGGAAAGGTATTTAAAATTTTTATTTCCTCTAAGACTTTGGTGTCTTACTGTCTTATAAGTATACAATTTTAATCTAATAACATTCACCCCATAGCACATAATGTTACCTCATATTTATACACGAAGTTGTTATTCCAACCATCACCATGAAGCATAGCTGACTCGGGCTCCACGATTTTCATAATTTCAATCGCGGCAACATCAGCGCCTTTTTGTAGAACTTTATAACATGTCTCGTATAATTTCTTGTCGCCCACTTCTTTCACGATATCGCAAGCCTTTGCCATGTACCCATTTATTGTTTTTCTAAGGGATTCCACAAAGTACTGTATCATAACATCGTCAAAATTGGTAACTAACTTTTCAAAACCACTTCTATCCTTATCTCTGAAAGCAAACGATATAGCATGGAATTTCCCATATTCTCGCAAAATAAGTTTAAGGTGGTTTAAATCCAACGGCCTTTTGCGGTCATACAAATCATATCCGTTCTTTTTCAAGTTCTCCATAACTAAAACTTCCATGGTATCATCAGACATAGTTTTGTAACACTTTGGGACGGAGTCAAATATATCTTTTATGTCATTTTGCATTTGAAATTTTGTGAACGCCGGTAAAATGGTTTCATATATGTACGCCTCCCTGCCGTACAGACTTGGGTTAGCTTGAATTAAATTTTTTCTGCTGCTTTTAACAACCACTTCAATGGTTTTTTCAATGCCTTCCTCTGTTGTAGCCGAAACTGTAGCAAAGTTGATGTGCGAAGCAAATCCGTCAGAATTTTCACTTTCACCGGTCAAAGCGATAGCATATTTCGAGAAGTGTTGGTGGTCCATGGCATCTTTAATGTACGTTTCAATTTCTTGGTCTGTAGTTTCCATCTTAAACACGTATAAAGTACTAAAAAATATAAATACGGGCTTTATAAATAACAACAGTAACTAGCATTTGAGTGACTCACGTGTAAGTCAAGGTTGGATCTGTTTCGTCAACTCGTCATAGTGCGGCAACCTTCATTTTTATGCTTCTATCAGTTTAGAGATTAGCGAGTAAATAGTTCTATAGTGCATGGTTACATTGTGCTTCTACTATTTATTTCCGAGAACTTACTGACACGATAAAGCATGTGGTTGTAGCACAGAATAAAACATAGAGAAGCGAAACTCGACATTTACGCCAATATCAAGCCGCCATCTTTCCGAAAGTACTCGTACGTTTGTTTGTTTACACTGAGATAATTAATTACTAGAGCCGGTACAACCGGTCCATTAGCCAGCAGCGCGAAATGCCTAGCTTTCGGTTTCGTTGTCAAGTTGCCTGTAATCGAACGATTATTGATTTCTTTTACGATTTTAATTGTATAGTTATAATTAAGTTGAACTACGTAGTAATGAATTCTAAAAGTGAAAATGCTTATTTAAGTTACTCCGTTTTTAAGCTAATTCGAAAGAAAAAAAAAGGAAATAACTCTTTGTGCCCTGAGCCTAAATGGAATAATAATATGTATTAATAGTTTTTAAATATTTAATTTACTGTGTGTTGTATTGAAATTGCCACTAATTATTATATTTTTATCAGTGAGAAATATTTATATTTAAACAAAGCTGAGATTACACAAGAAACCCTATAACTGATCCTTTTGGCCCAAGATATTAGTCGTTTAAAGATTCTTTTTCTGTTCTGAGTCGCAGAAATACTTATTTAAATAAACAATTAACAAAGAATACCACAAATAAATAACAGCCACATAAAAAAAAAATAAAAGTTGTCTGTACTTTTCATGCGACATATGTTATCTGTAGTATTTTTGCCTCCTGATCACGAATCCGGTGTCAAAATTGAGCTATCACATCACAGGAATTTCCTAACCTCAAAAAACAGGTAAAAAATAGCAAAAATTCATGAAAAAGTGCTAGGGAACATACAAACAATTTTCTTTTCTATATTTAAATGTTCATTGATATAGTTAAGACCCAGTCCAACGTGAATCCGCGTTTAGAATTAATGGTTCTTTTTCTAACCTCTAAAAACGGGTCAATTAAGGTCAGATATCACGAATTTTCAAACAATAACAGATTCACGCCAAATTTGGTATATGGGGGTTTTCTGGGTCGCTGATCACGGATCCGAGGTTAATTTTGCAAAATTCAAGAATTGCGAAATTCATTTTGTAATATTTTACTTTATAACCTGAGTACCCAATCTAATTAACCTACTTTTTTCGGCTATATCTTGTTTTTTTCTTCTGTAAAGGATCTATTCAGGGTTCAGGGTTGAATTTTGTAAATTTGATCTCGGATTCGTGATCAGTGACCTCGAAAACCCCCGTATACCAAATTTGGCGCGAATGTGTTATTTTATGAAAATTTGGTCGGCCGCCATCTTAAATTTTGCAAAATTGACATCGAATTCGTAATCAGCGACCCCGAAAACCCCCGTAGGTAAACCAAATTTGGCGCGAATTTGTTATTTTTTGAAAATTCGTGATATTTGACCTTAATTGACCCGTTTTTTTGAGGTTAGAAAAAGAACCATCAATTCTGACCGCTAATTCATGTTCTGCATTTTTATATTTTTCCTAGCACTTTTTCCTGTATTTTTGATGTTTTTGACCTGTTTTTTGAGGTTAGGAAATTCCTGTGATGTGATAGCACAATTCTGACACCGGATTCGTGATCAGGAGGCAAAAATAATACGGATAACATATGTCGCATGAAAAGTACAGACTACTTTTTTTGTGTGTAATCAACTGACTTATTACGTAATAAATACTGTAATTTCTTTTATCCTCCTATGTCATTTATTAAATTAACCTCATTTTCTCTTTCAGAGCTTTTCTTCTACATTTAAAAAATCATGCTAAAATGAATTAAATTGTACCAGGAAATTTTTTTTATTAAATTGAAATGAATGAATTTTTACGATCTGTTTTTATGTTTGGGAAATGCATTGCAATTTTTTCACTGTCGTCCTATCGTTTCAAGTTTCGTGCTTTGAATACTGGATCGAAGTCACAAAATTTGGTTCCACTAGAACACAGCATTTCGACGAGAATTGCGTTTCTATACTTAATTATTATTCTGTGGTCTTAGCTAAGCGTTACAGTACAGAAAATACTTGCTCAAGGATAACAACGTATGTTTTCAGAAAAATTTGCTAATTAAAAATATGGTGGTTATTTTCTTCTTTTTTAGGTATTTACGAGAATAATATTCATGACTGATATTCAAGTTTATATTCAACGTGGAACAAAAATAGTAATAGCATAATTTTCTAAAAACAAAACATTTGTTTTTATTTATATTATTTCGTTTCTTACCAATACACACATATATGACAATAGGCTTTTCTTCAGACAGTGTTTGGTACTAATTTCATTTGCATTAATTGCAAAAATGTGTCAAAAACTAATCAATAATAAATACTTATCCTAAAACCTTTATAATCTTTTTACGACGTTATGATAATGAAAAACCCAACTCAACATTTTCCGCATTTTGATATCTTAAAAACTAGAAAGCAAATTGCTATAAAAGTTGGTATCATCATATTGGTTTATTATTCTAATCTGAAGAGGCGGTGATTCTAAATTATAAAATCAAATACATATTTGCTATTTGTAGCTGATTATAGCTATAATCTAAGAAAATATATTCTAATGCACTAGAAACAAAGCTAATATGTACCTAATTATTTTTTTATGTAAACTTTTTAAGTGTTTAAGCATAGACCTTATAAACTATGGACTGGCCCTAGAAAGAGAGGTTAATTGTGCTGATGTGTGCAAGGCAGATGAAGCTAGTGCAGGCAAATACCGGTAAAACAAATAATAGTATAACCGTAAACAAACTTTAGAGTAAATGTCATGTAAAAGATTTCTTAAATTTTTGTATGTGAAATATTTGTGAAAACTTAATATGGTGCAATCGTGTTAAGCGATCAACTGCGTAAAGATACGTTTAAGTGTAGAAAAAATTAAATTTCATAAGTAGGAAAAAGGTTAATATGGTACCAACATTTTCATATCGCATATTTCTGAAAATAATAACCAAGTAGAGTTGTCTCTATTGTGAATTTTCTAAATGTTTAAATTAGTTTTTAACATCAAACTGAGTATAAATAAACAGTTTCAACTGAATTGTGCTTATAATGAGCTTCAGCAAAAATTATCTTAAAGTAATATGCTGAAAAATAAAGCATCGATATACCTAGTTTCAATTTAACAATTTTGAAAAGCAAGAAAATATGAACTGTTTGAAACAACTACGTCAGAGGAGCTTGCAGTAATTTTAATTGATCTAGCTTACCATATGAGGAAAATAAATGGAGAAATACATAAAGAAGGTATTATAAAACCTGTTTGGAAAATTGTAGGTAACTATGAATATTTTTTAAATATGTAAAATATCTTTGACTTCAAATTTCTAATTATTACATTCCCCCTTTAATACCTCTAATTTGTACAGAAATTCCATATAAGCAAATAGTGCTTATTGATTAATAATAATTAAAATTACTTGTACAAATATTTATTGTCAAAAGAAGAAGAATCGAATTTAATTCAGTTTGAGTTAATATAAAAAATTTTTAATACCATAAGTGTAGTTTTTCTCATAGAATTAATATACTCGTATATCTGCACATTTTTTATAGTTGAAAGAAAATTTTTTGTCTTCTAGTCTCTATATTATTTTTATAGTTTTTATAGATCAGAAATTTGTCGGCTATCTCTTCTGCCAATCATCTGAATATAATTGAAAACCTAATCAATAATTTTTCAAAATTTTTAACTTAACCACACTTTCACAAAGTATGGCCGCCACACATAAATGTAGTTAAAATCATTTTAACTACAAACGTGAATACGGCCCGACAGAAAAAAGGGGTAGAGAATCTAGTATAGCTAGCTGATTGGTTGAATTAAATGTAGCGCGCTACAGTCGAAGTTCTGTGAACGAAGCATAAGCACGTACTAGCTATATCTCTCTCGCAAAGGTCTATGGTGTAGAATACGTGCTTAGGCAACCCACACAGCTGTTCTTGATTTTCCTGGTTGACTAATATTTAACTAATACATCTGTTTTCAAGAATATTTTTAATTTACTGCTTAAAATAATTAAAAAGGAAATGAAATGTGTAGTTAAATGATAAGGATCTCTAAATCACTCATTGTGTTCTGCTGATATCACATACATTACCTGATTAAATGATTAAATAAAAATCTATCTTTGGAAAATTAATTAAAATTGTTCATTGATTTATTTTCACGAAGTACTCGCATATTTATAATAATGGTTTACAATAGCTAACAGCCTTTTTTCATATTCGGGTGAATCTTTAATCTGCACATTTGCCACTTGTTCTGCAAAATCGTGACCGTCTTTGCTCTCATTAGGTGCCTCCTTTTTTTCACATGAAAATAAATGCAGAAACGTAGTTGATATTATGAAACCAAATAATGAGTATTTCTTCCAGTGTTCCTGCAAGGCGGAATATGGGAAAAGACTCTCCGAATCACACCCAAAATCTGCCAAAGTCGTAGAGAAGCTGGTGTAATAAACATCTAACAATTCCTCAAAATGTTTTAGCTGATCTTCCGAACACGTACTGTATATAAAGTAGGACAAATCCAAGACTGGGGAATGTAACCGTGACAACTGCCAATCCAGGATGGCAACTTTTGAGGGATTTTTGTGATCCTCAGTCTGAAACGAGAACAGCAATATTACATGTTTACTATTTGCTACAGATATGCTTCAAGTAGTTATAATAGTTATTTATTATACAAGGGAAAAAGTATTAGATTTTAGCTCGAGGTTGTGTTTGTCTCCCGACGCGAAACAATACACCGAGAGTTAAAATCTAATATTTTTTTACCCGTGTATTATACATTTTTTTATGACGGGAAAAAACAACGATTTAATATTGAAAAAACATATTACAATACAGGGTGTCCCGAAATTCATGCAACAAATTTTGGTCATAGATTCTTAAGACAAATTTAGGGGACCCGTATTTTTTCTTTTCGCCAAATGGCCCCCTCTTTCGGATTTACAGCCCCCTGAAATCTGCCCCTAAGGAGTCTTTTTTATATCTCAAAACCATGTTGTACGAGAATCACTAAACACATGGGTTTTATGACATGTGGAATATCACAGTGCTACGCTTTTTGGCGAGAAACCCCCTTAAGACACTTTTTCGT